TTCTACGTGAACGGTCTCACACACCCTCGAGTTCCGTTAACGCTACCACTACGCGGTTCAGGGCTTGGTGGGGTAGAGATGGCCGATAGGCTTGCTGATATCAGCCCTGCTACTGTTCACAAAGAGGTAAGCGAGTTTCTCACAACGCGATTGAATGTCTTACGACATGTGCATGACGCACTGGCTGATAGCCACGATAAACAAAAGGAACAAGCTGATGCTATAGGCAGAGGCTGTATTGAACATGATAGGGTCGGAGACCAAGTTCTACTCAATGCTAAAAACCTACCTACAAATGTAGTATCTGCTGTCTTCAAGACAAAGTTGCGTCCGCGCTTCATTGGGCCGTTCACGGTCATCGCTAAGAAGGGATTGGCGTACACGCTCAACCTTCCGTGAATTATGCGCACGCACCCAGTGTTCTACGTTGGCTTGATTAAGCCGTATCGGGACCCGTCCCATGTGAACTCGGAGGCGCTTGCGCCTGGAAATAAGGCCTTGACGTCGACTGTTGCATCCAAACCAGAAGGTCAAGCTGACCATCCAGACGGGCTAAGCCCAACTCCAACGCCTGAACACGGGCTTGCATCGCGCCGAGTTTATTCTGGGTATTACCCAATGTCTCTCGGAGACCACTCAGCTCACGGAGCACCTTCTCATGCTCCTCCTTCGGTACTTCGACCGCCACCGACGCTGCTCGATGAGCAAGGGAACCACCAGTTCCATGTGGAGAAAATCCTTCAGCGACGTCGTCGTCGTGGCCAATACCAGTATCTGGTGAAATGGTGAGGGTACCCGGAGTCGGAGAACTCGTGGGAGTATGAGATACCCCTTCGGCAGGACTGCCCTTACGCCGTGGATGTTTTTGAACATCGTGACCAGGGTCGCCTTGCGACCGAGAACGCTTCTCACCAATAGTGGTGGGAGGTAGCATGTTGCTCCGCACCTTAGGGTCGTGATCCGTGGCTACCATCGTAGCAGGAGAATAACGCGTACATGTACGCAACTGGCCTCTGGCCTTGAGTTTGGCATACTCGAACCGAAGCTTTCGTTCCAACCGAACGTCGGCCACATCGGCGCTGGACCGCAGCGCTGGCACACTGCTAAGGTGTCGCTTGCGATACACCCAACGGATGAACTGATTGTCCTCCTCCTCGGGCAGTTCGCCAGCGAACAACAAGATGGGCACGCCCTTAATCGGTCGAACCGAGACACCACGAGACAAGCTCTCAAGATGCGCGCGGTACTGACCTTGCGTGGTAAAGAATGGTTCGAGATATCTCTCATTTAGAGCCTGACGAACGGCTATATCTTCTGGCGACGTAGCCTCGGGGCCCATTGGCCATGTTGAAAGGCTACGGCCTTCCGTTTGACGGAGTCGTTGCTCCACGTCAGGTGTTGTAAACACGTAACCACTCCGGTTTTGAATAACCGTCTGGGTATGAGTGCGACGTAGAGCACGCTCCTCACGCTGGAGGGTTAACTCCTGTTGCTCGTCGAGCGGGTTTGTGATGATGTTCTCGTCTGCATCTGTTGTATGATGCTGCGCCCCTGGCGCTGTGGTAATACCACGTATAACGAACAGATTCGGTGCTGTTAGAGGTCGAGCCTCAGATAAAGCGGAGTAGGACGATATCCCTTCATATCCAGGGACACTGGTATCACTACCATAGTCCACATCCTCATTGAGACCGAGGTAGGAGGAAAGTGTCCGAGACTCGTTGGGTGGCGATGCCATGGTGTTTCGTGTCTTGCCACCGTGAGATTAAGCGCACACACACCGACCTCTTCGAGGAAAGAAACCGATTGACGTTTTGTGGTAACGTCAGTCTGGTGGGGGAGGGTGTAACGGGGTTACACGTCGACTGGTAGTCGACGATAGGTGTGGTGCACACAAGAGAGGGGGTACCCTATAAAGTAATTTTAGAACACAGTGAGTGTATCAATTGTTGAAGACTGATGTCTGTCATCAATTGATTACTAGATCTTTAGAGAGGTTTTACTTTGAACCTTAGTGACTAGGTTAAATACATTGTTCTATGGTGTTCTTTAGGTTTAAAGAAGAAATAAAATTCAGTTCCCCTTTTGATCAATAAGAGACACGTGCCTTACGAGGCGTCTTTGATCGGGAGGACAAAAGCAACGCCTGTAAAGGTAGCTTGTCCTCGAGCACTCTGTGCTGTGATTCATTTGAATCGTTTGGTCCCTCTGGAACGGGGACCGTTAGCTCTCTGAGCTATTGACTCTCTGAGTCGGGTTCTGTGAACCAAAATTGCTCGTGAGAGCGTTAAGTCTTCATCTGACTTAAGGAGCTGTGTAGCTCCGCTACAAAGTCTCCATGGATCAAGCGCCGCCTTCGCAACAACATCTCGCGAAGGTCAAAAGGGATCTGCTCAATGTCTCATTTGGCGCACCCGTAGCACCACAAGGACCAGTTGCGTTCCAGCAGCCACTGCTGCCACTAGAGCACCACGAGCCGTAGATAATGGCACCGCAAGAGGAGCAACACTTGACGATGTACGCAGGCCCGTTTGTAATGGGCCCACCGCTTATACTCGCGCGTGTTTCCAAAGGCATCTCGCCAGCTGCTTTAATCAATCCCTTAACAGTATGATGCCAACCTTAATCAAGGCTGAAAACACGACGATTTATAGAGACACGATGGTAGCTGGTAGCTATTTAGTAAGTAAACACCGGACGCAAAAGGGCCAAAATGTATATTTACTTTGCTTGTTGCCTCACTTCCTGCCTAACTTCCTGCCATTGTAGGAGTTACTTGCTGCTGCCTCGCCTATCCCTAGCAATCGAGCAGTTTCTTATTCCATGTTGCAGTTAAGAATAATGTGGTTGACACTATTTAGTGTGTTTTTTTATACTTGAATTTAGTATTGCACTAGTTTTGGTACTTTTGAACATTTGTGGTACTGGTTTTGAGATGAACTCCTATATTTATTCCGCAGATATAAAAGGACCCTTGCGCGCCATGCAGTCCAAGCACCATGAACACGTTTGTACAAAGGTGTATAAAAGGTAGGACGTAACAGGTCTAATTAAAATAAAGTGTCTGAAAAGCAAGAAATGGAAGTTGTTTGTTCTTGAAGAGTGATGTTGACTCGAGATACACATTCACTTTGTGCTAAATAATATTAAATTAGTCTGCATCTATGATGTTGTCAGCCGATCTGCTCGAGCGCCAAATATCGATGAACGCGTCAGCGACGTTATGTACAACGTGACAAAGCTTAAACTCGTCACCAATCGCTGACTTCCACTCGTTAAGTCGGACGCTGAGTGACACTTGTTGAGTCCCGCTCGTTGAGCCGGACTCGCCGAGTTGTACCTGATAGGCGAGATTGTCCCAAATCAGTTTACGTCGCCATGGGCTCACCTCGTTCCAAAACACGAGACGCTGTAGGAAAAGTTGACAGTGTCACACTTTACTGACAGAAAAAGGTCAAATTTGCTCACCATTTGTTCCTTTACAAAACGCATTTGATTTATCGTCCGTGAGCCTCCGCGCATACCACGCCCGCAGCTGCGACGCTTCGATCACCACCCACTCCGCGCGAGCCCGCGGCCACCCATTACGCTGCATTGCCGCCACCACATCCCGTGGGCCCAATAGTTCTCCAAAAGCTGCCAACCCTCGAGCGAAAATGGTACGTGTGTTTGTCTGCTCTCTCCCTCTTCGTCGCTCAACGGTCGAACGGCCGCCGCCGCCGCCGACAACAAACGAACGAACGAACGAGTGAACGAGTGAACGAACGAACGGTCGCACTCATTTGCTGTGCATCCACTGCCTCCTGTTTGTCTCTGCCCCGTCAGACCGGCGACAAGAGCAACAATGTTATGCGCGAGATCCACGTCGACAAGCTCGTGATCAACTGCTGCGTTGGCGAGTCCGGCGACAAACTGACCCGAGCCGCGCGTGTGCTCGAGCAGCTCACCGGGCAGAAGCCCGTGTACTCGAAGGGTAAGCTTTTTGACACGCGTGACAAAAGCAAAGAACTGCCTTAACGGGCTACTTACCCGGGCGTCGCGCCCGCGGTCCAGCGAGGGCGCGGCGTTCCAAATGCACGGCCTTTCGGGGTGTCGGAGCTCTGTCTCTGGTTCATCCCCGATTGCGCGCGTTAGGAGTACAACGAGCGAGCGCTGCACAAAGCAGTTCGTGGGACGGCACGCAGACGTCAATGATCGTGGAGGTTGGTGGCTGTCTGTTCGTCGATCTTAACGGATGGCAAGAGATGCGTGCTCGCTCCTCCGACGTTGTGCGCGCTCTGTCGCGTCAACACTGTTGTCTGCCATGAGCACACACACATGGTCAACGTGGCTCCTCTAGAGCTGTACTCAGTGTACAGACCTCGTTCGCGCGCACGAGTGTGTGGGAATGAGGTCGTTGTGCCAGCGGATTTGGGCTAACTTGTTGTGAACGATGCACTGTTCTGTGACTGCAGCTCGCTACACGGTCCGCACGTTCGGCATTCGCCGTAACGAAAAGATCTCGTGCCACGTGACGATTCGCGGGGAACTCGCTCAGGAGATTTTGGATCGCGGTCTCAAGGTCAAGGAGTACGAGCTGCTGCGCAAGAACTTCTCCGAGACGGGCAACTTTGGCTTTGGTATCCAGGAACACATTGATCTGGGCATCAAGTACGACCCATCGACGGGTATCTACGGCATGGACTTCTTCGTCGTGCTCAAACGCCCCGGGGCTCGCGTCGCGCGGCGCAAGATGAAGCAGTCGCGCGTCGGCCACCCGCACCGCCTTACCAAAGATGACGCGGTGAACTGGTTTCAGACCAAGTTCGAGGGCATCGTGCTGGATGCACCTCGCCTGTAAGAAGCTAGCCAGCTAGGTGAGCCTGGGGACGTGTAGCTAGTAGCAGAGCCGCTGTGCAGTGGATGGCAGCTAACTGTGAATGGAGAGATCTGAAACAATATGGGTATGTATTGCATGTCGACTGCACTTGACGGCCATCACTTTCGCGGCCAAGGGCTCCTTACTTACTGTGCCACTGCACGGGCTCGTCTTCTTTTGGATGTTTGCCGAGCCACTTGGACACCCCATCGGCATCTAGCAAGATGGAGTTGACGTTGGTCGATTCGTCCACTGGCTGAGCCATCAACGACAGATATTTCTTCGCCATGAACACTGCCATGTCCACTGACAAGTTCAAGTGCGACGTCAAGAGAAACTGGGTGATCCACGGCGGCAGCTTCGTGCGCTTGTCCGCTCGGTTGTATCTCGAGTCAGCGAAAATGACGAGACCGTAGTCGGTCTTGCTCCGAAGAACTCGACCGGCGCACTGGGCGGCTTGGCGCAGCGCATCGAATGTCAGAAAGTCACCTTCGCGGATCTGATGCGTGTACCGAAGGTATTCGAGCCGCGCCCGCAACGTGTTCGACAGCGTGTACTGAAAAGGGATACCGAAGAGCAGCACGGCACGTCCATAGTGACGGTCGAAATCAATTCCTTCTGCCACCTTCCCACGAGCAACCGAAAAGAAGATCGCCCCTCGGCCACAGTCGCACGCTTTTTTGTAGTTGTCCAGCGCCAGGGTCGTCTCCACAATATCTTTCGTCTCAATGAAAAGCAGCTTGCTCGAGAGAACGCGCTTAAGCACTCCCAGCGAGTCCCACTGGCCGATAATCTTCTCCATGTAGAGATACGACGGGAAAAAGCAGACCATACCATCGGGCGTGCAAGCTGCCATTTCCAGTAAAAGCGTTCCGTAGTTGCGGACCACGGACATGTCGTCGCGCAGGTCAAACTTGGTACTCACGGGCATCTGGTCACTACCGCGCGTGATCACGAGGGGACAAATACTTGCGCGATAGACGGACATGGGCAACGATTCTCGGATCACCGGGTTGAAGTTCAGCAGTCGCGGGTACAAATCGATTGGAGACAGTGTTCCGGAAGTGATGATGACACTGGAAAAGCGTTCAAACACCGGACGAATCGCCAGCGACGCATCCAAGCACGAGAGCTGTAGTACGGGATCGTGAGCGCCTGACCCGCTATCAAACGGCTCAATGACCAGCATGAAACCGTCGGCGTATGTAGCCACCAGTGTCGCAAAGTCTGCGACGTGTGTGAGGGAGTTGAATTCCTCCAAGTTCGTCACCTCGAGCGTGCGAAGAAGCGAGTTCAGGCGCGTGTAGCAAAACTTCATCGGTTTAATGTCCACACTGATAGCCTGGTGCAAGTGATGAAGAAAAGCTTGCGGCGTCTCGGATTCTACCTGCCGCACTCGAATGCGCTGACGCAAGTACTCAATCAGTCGACGCATAAATGCCACAAAGTGCTCTGCTTTTCGAATGTTTCCCGGAATGGCTTCGTCCAGCACATCATCCGGTAGCACTGGGTTTGCGAGCATGATGTCATTACTCGTGTCAATTGCGTTGTTTGTGGCCGGATCTGTATACGTCGGCGCTACTACCGCATTGCTTGACCGAAGGCCTTCAACAAGTCGCCGATACTCTGCGTCCAACCTCGACCTGTCTGCTTGTTTTAGTTTATTCACTTGACTGGATAATGTCGTCAAGTTCCTCGACGCTCTGTCGAGCGCTCGTCGGTCCAAGTCGACACTCAGTGCTTCAATGCACACATTGTCGATGTTATGTGCTTCGTCAAACACGACAATGCTCTCCTTCTCAAAGCTCCGCGAAACCAACTGACTAACCTTGGGGTCCAGCATGTATTGATAATTAAACACCACCACGTCGGCGAACGTGACAGCGTATCGCGTGAGAAAATACGGACACCAGCCTTTTTGCATGCCCAGCTCTTTTAGATCCTCGACCGAGTACACACCAGGCGCCAACACGCTGTCGTCGCTCTTCCTGCCGTCATACGTTTCAAAGAACGAACACGTTTCGACCGACGTCTCGTCTGCTACATCCGACATTGGCGCATCGTGCGCTTCAGTCGTCGCTCGAGCAGCTCGCGCGCGCACCCAGGAGGCCGTCATTCGCCTGCATTGGCCGTCAACGTCCTCTCCGTCTGCATGCGCCATGACTCTCGGATGCACACACATGTTGCGTCGCGAGCTGAGGCACACAGCTGTCACCTGCGCTTGCGCGCCGTAGTGTTGTCTACGGTACACCACAAGCCGCTTCAGCTCTTCGACACACTTGGCCATTTCAGGGACTGTTCGAGTGCAGTACACCAACTTGCCCGCGGTCGCGTGGGCGTGTTTGTAAGCCAGCACGAGTGCGAGCAGGGACACGGTCTTGCCGGTGCCCGTGGGCATCTCCAGCATGCAGTGGCCATGCGCGTCCAGCGCGCGCTTCAGCTCGCGCATGTACTGCAGCTGTTCCGGGTACATGCGCTCGTACGGGAACACCACTTCCAGTCCTTCAATGTCGATCTTCATGGCACGTGCGGGTGGCGATTGAGCAGTGGTGTCCACCACACGAGGCGCGGGAGCGACCCGCACGCGATTAGAGACAAAGTGCGGTCAGTTGTGGTGTGGTGTACGTAGTTTTCGGGAAGGCCTCGACGCTCGCGACTAGAGACAAAGTGCGGTCAGTTGTGGTGTGGTGTACGTAGTTTTTGGGAAGGAGGAGGCTCACATCTGTCGGGTTGGCTTGGTTCTCCAACGTACAACGGAGAAACTTCGCGCGAAGTTTAAACGGGTGTCGGACTGGGAGCGTGACCAACGTGTTACAGCCATCAGGAGACTCCACGGTGATCCGTTCCTAGTCGGTTGTAGCGTCGCCGACAAGTTTAGTTCTGAATGGGATCATGTGCTGGGGCAGAGCCACCGTATAGTCCCAGTCGCAGAACTGTGTACGGCTCTGCGGCATTTTGTCGCTCTCCCCTCTGACCGCATAGTCACCACCGCCGAAAACCGTGCCCTGATGGCAGATATAACGGAGGCAGAGGTGGTACTCGCAATCCGAGCTCTCAGTAGGCATAAAGCCCCCGGCACCGACGGATTAGGGAACGATTTTTACAAGGATCTTCAGTCGCTGTTGGTACCGCCGTTAGTGGAGATAGCTAACGAGATCATCCAAGGTGCGCAACCACCCAAGTCGTTTATGGAGGCGCTCATCATCCCGCTACGTAAGAAAGGAGATTCCGACGACGCCATGGACTATCGACCGATCTCTCTGTTGCAAACGGGGTACAAGGTAATTGCGAAGGTCTTGGCGACGCGTATGCAGCAGTGTCTGCCACATGTCATCGGTTCTTCTCAACAAGGCTTTGTTCACGGACGCCAAATGCAAAAGACGGTCTCAATGATGCTTGCTCACCTCCAAAGTGCACGTGAGGAGTGTACTTTGGACGCCGACGCCAGCCGCGCCGTTGTCTACTGGATTTTCGGAAGGCCTATGATACGGTCGACCGCGACTTCATGGTAGAGGCGCTCCGACTATTCGGGTTTGACGAGAACTTTCTAGCGCTCATTCAGAGGCTTCATACCAACACGACGGCACGTTTTTCGGTCAACGGTGAGCTTTCATCAATTCGGCCGGTTCGGTCTGGCATTCGGCAGGGCTGTCCCCTCGCTCCTCTTCTTTTCCTGGTGGTAGTCGAGGTGCTGGCCGTTGCAATACAAACGTCGCCCAAACTTCACGGGCTCACACTTCCAGGAGTACACACACAGCCCCATGTATTTTCGGGGTTTGTCGACGACTCAACCCTGTTTCTACAAGAAGCCAGTCTACTACGACCGGGTATGGACATCATTATGGAGTTTGGGCGGCTTTCGGGGTTGCAGGTGCAACCGACAAAAAGCCAACTCATATTTTTAAACACGGCTATCCGTCAACCTACGTATCAGGGAATCGCAGTGGTGGCTCCGTCAACAACTACGAGGTATCTCGGCTATCAAGTGGATACAGGAAAGTTACGCAACATTAACTGGGCTCTCCGCATCAAAAATGCACAGCGTCGCCTCCTCACTGCAACGCGAGTTTCGACGACCCTCGAGCACCGAGTTCTTATACTCAATGCGATAGTTCTACCCGGGATTTTGTTCACGGCAGCGGTCTTCGAGCCCCCGGTTGGGCGCTCAAACAGCTGGATCATCTCTACAAACAGTCTCTCTGGAAGACGTCCAACAGGATTGAACCCGGGAGACACAAAGTCGCTCCAGGCCTCCTTTACGCTCCCCGTAAGGCAGGCGGAATCGGCCTCGTTTCGGTCCCCGTCGCCATCAAAACCCAGCGGGTAAAACACGCGCTACTGGCACTTACTCGGCCAGAGGATGGTTATCACGCAGCGTGGGTGTCCTGGGTTACGCATGGTGCACACATTCCGGCCATCAGTCCGCATCGACCGAGCGTGCGACACATTGTATCGCCGTCTTCCGAGCGGCATCTGGATGTACTTTATGAGCTCGGATGCACATTGACGCCGACACCCGCGCAAACGGATGATATTCTCGCACGGGTACAGGACCATCTACCGACCCTTCGATCATCATCGACGAGCTGGTGGGAAGAAAACGACTGGGTGCTGCATCTCTCTGAACCCCTTCCCAGTCGGCCTCAGTCAGTAGAGTTTTGGCCCCAGGCGATCGAAGACTTCTGGCTGACTTTCCGGTGGAGTGGAAACCCTTGGGTTCTCACCCCACAGGCGTCGGCGTTGTCCCGGTCCAAGTATGACAGGATCGGTGATATCTCCTTTGAACAACTCCATATCCAGCGGACAGGACCCCAGGAATATGTCTTCGGCGGCATTTGCCCGGACCTCCTCGCCCCCCGCCATTCCCATGCCAAACTTCGAGAATGGGCGATCATCGTCTTACTCTCGTCGCCGTCACTTGATGTAGGAAATTCGGTGGGGGGCCCGGCCCCACTCCGGCTGAGGCATCAGCCCCCTTTCACACAAGCCATCACATGGGTGCCGGTCGGGCCGGGTAGGGTTCGGGGCACTGCTGTCTCGGACAATTCTATTCACCCTCAGCGTTGGGAGCTTATTCAATGCCAGAATGGCATTTCTTGGGTTTTCGACGGGGAACCGCCGCGGGTCCAAGGGAATACGCAGGAAATCACCCAGCTCGCGGAGTGCAGGCTCATCCGAAATGGGGTCGTCTTTTTTCCAACCCACAGGTCCACCGCTTCCCATGGTCCGCTCCGCTAACGGTTCCCAATCACCGCGTCTTCTCGTTCCTGAAACGGCAAGCTTTCAAGTCGGCTAAGCGGTGTCTTGCGACACCGCTGAAGCAGGTCATTGATAGACTGGGCACCAAGAGCCAGCATAACCGTTGGCAACGCGCAGCTCTCGATGTCTCGCCGGCTCATTTATGGGGTCACGGACACGCGGTGACGGAATATCAGCTATGGACACGGTACCGCCACGCTACCGGTCAGCTAAACTTTTGGTATCAGGACCGGCCTCCGGACGGGTCTTGCACGTATCGAGAATGTGTCGGACAGAAGGAGACCCAGGAGCATCTCTTTTGGGAATGTCCCCGTGCACAGGCAATCTGGGCACGGCTAATCAGTCATTGGGAGAGCACACCTCTAAAGCCTAACCATCTACTGGATTGCCTCGAGCACTGCGCAAACCGTAGAGTACCACGCATTTCGCCGCAGGTCACGGCAATGCTGTTAGTCAGATATCCAGACGACATCGATCAATTCGCCACGGCCTGGAGGACGATCTGGGAGGTCGCAGGGACCGTCATCATCACAATGCTCTGGCAACACCGCGTGGACAGAGTTTTTCACAATGCGAAAATCCCGATGCAAGCCAGTGAAGCCATGATTTGGGGGAGGATTCAGCTTCAATTGCGGGCGCTCATCAAACGTCTCCATTGCAGGGCTGACACGGCCGTGCGTGGCGCCCAACTTTCTGCATGTTACGACATATTTCTATCAGAACCGAGAGGGCAGCCCGGCTTTCATAGCCAGGCTGCCAGCCGTAGGCAATGCCTGGACCCTCCAGCGTTGCTAGTGTGGTTAACAACCTACCAGAGATCTTGCACTAACCAGTAAATAGACAATCTGTTCTCTCTCTAGTTTTTGGGAAGGCCTCGACGCATGCGACTAGAGACAAAGTGCGGTCAGTTGTGGTGTGGTGTACGTAGTTTTCGGGAATGCCTCGACGCTCGCGACTAGAGACAAAGTGCGGTCAGTTGTGGTGTGGTGTACGTAGTTTTCGGGAAGGCCTCGACGCACGCGATCACGATAGACACAGACACAGACGGACACAGACAGATAGACAGACGACAGACGGCCACGGCACAATAAGACGCGCAGCTATGGCCGACGCTGTGGCGCACCTTCGAGACGAAGACGCGCCGCAAAGGAACCGCCACTCTGGACCTCGTAAACGCCGTCCAAAGAAGAAGAAGAAGAAGAAGAAGAAGCGGAAGGAGGAGAAGGCGGAGAAGGACCAGCAATTGTCGTGTCGATTGAGCGACTCGGTCGTGTTTGATCGAAGTCGCGATGTGGATGTACCACCGCTTCAGTTCTCTTCTGGAGACTCGATGCATCGTCAGAGCGGACGCTGCTCTGGTGCTGAGTCGTTAGCTTCAGTGTGCGACAGTAGTGAGCCGTATCCTGACTTTGCAACCCCATCGTTGGCGCCAGATCCGACTCTAACGACCGATTTCTTGCTCCGTCAAGTAGACGCTTGTGCAAATGGGTCTCGCGTCAGCTTTGAAACACCATGTGAAGTGTGTAGACCATCCACTTCGAGGTCGTTTCGACAACTGGGGCTTAGTACAGAGGAGCGAGCAGCATTGAAGCAGGAACAAGCGCAGCGAACAGCAGAACAAGCATACTGGACGCAGTGGGTCATTGACGCGGCTGAAAAAGAGCGAGCGAGACGGTTAAACGTGCTGAAACAGCTGCAATGCGAAGAAGAAGAAGAGGTGCAACGAAGGAGACAGTGGGCGATTGCTACGATTGAGAAGGAGCAGAAGGCCATGATGCGAGAGCTGTTTTTGGACAATATGAAGAACACGCAGTGGTTCCAGTCAACGATCTCGAGGTTCTCGAAGGACTACGAGGTGGTGTGTCCAAACAGCTGGTGTGGATGTACGTATAGCTGCATGCTGAAAGATCTGGAGCTGCATTTAGGGAGATGTGCATATCGACAAGTGCCGGACAATCTGGATCAGGTGGTAGAAGATAGCACGGCGGACTTGTCATCATACGATGTCGTGTGTCCAAATGCGATGTTAGGGTGCAAGGAGATTTGTTCACGCAAGAATTTGGTACAACACCTTGCGATATGTTCTGTAAACGGCATCTCACGGGAAAAAGAGTGGGAAGAACGACTGGAGTGGAGAAAAAGTGTCAACAGGGCAACCGAGAAGGAACGGGAACGTCGTATGGACGAAGAACGAGAAGAAGGACGAGTGAACGGATGCGGACTGTCGTTTGGAAATCTACAGAGGCTGTACGAAGAGCAGACAGCAATGATGCAGGTCGTGCTGCATGACGAGATTTTGGACTTTTATCATCATCACCAGCGGGAAGCGCTCGAAAAGCGTCTATGGATACAGAAAGCTATTACAATGGTGACTGAAGAGATTGAACGATTATGGAACTATTGTGTGCAAGTCGAAAAGTACGGGTCATTTGCTACAAATTTGCATGGCGAAGCAAGTGATGTGGACCTTGTTGTCTTTGGGGCAACGGAGGAGTTTAATTGTACCGGTCAACAGTGTGTGGAGGCGTTGGCTGATCATTTTCGTGAGCTTAGTGCGTTTTCGGATGTAAGTGCCATCACCCGCGCACCGATCCCGCTATTGAAAGTGGTGGTGCTGGTATCAAGTGGAAACGTTGAGGCAGCAGAAAACAAAGAGAGAGAAGACGGAGATGAGGTGAAGTTACGCATTCCGTTCGATATTACGTTTGACGAGCCCCGCGGCGCTCACCACAATGGTGTAGCAAGTGTCACATTGGTGCAAGGTCTTGCAAGCGCGTTTTACGGACTGCGGGAACTGACACTTGTACTGAAGTGCTTTTTGGTGAAGTGTGGACTGAATGACCCGTACGTCGGAGGCTTGTCGTCGTACGGTTTGCTACTTATGGTTGTATACGTACTGCAAGAGCAAGGAGCTCTTATATTGTTGATCGACGAACAACATATCTCGCAAGGTTTTGTCGATGCCGATGAACGTAAAGGAGCCGCTCGGCCTCGGAATGCCCGCTGGAACTTGCGCTATGAATCGCAATGTCTGAAGGGGGAAGTCATTGCGAAAGAAATTATCAAGCAATGCTCAGCAAGGCAACAATCATCGAATGCTAGAAGGATAGCCGAAAGCTGTACGAAGAAGGCAAAGCGAGCAGTGTATCTTTCCTTTGTCACTGGTTCGGAAGCAGATGACGCGCTAGAGGCCAAGCCATACCTTCTGGGAAAGTTGCTCATGGATATTCTACAGTTTTACGGAAACGACTTTAGACAGGATTTTGACCAGATCTCGGTTGTGTCATGGGGTGAGCCAAGTTGGCTAACTGTTGAAGCGCCGTCAATTACGAAAGCAATGTCGCCGCCAGCACGTACTTTACCTCCTTCGACAACGTACCCTTCTCCGACAGACGGACATTGCACTGTGAACCCTCCCTTAGTGTTGGCGCCACCGCTTTTTCGGGACGGACTGTTTGTGATTGAAGATCCGTTGCAGCCTGACAACAATGTCGGCAAAACGTGTTATCGCGTGAGCCAAGTGTGTCGCGACTTCTCCGACTTTTTGAGTTTCCTGACTGCACTGATCGTACGAGGTTCTGTCATGACGACAGGCAGGAAGAAGACCATAAACGCATTTGCGAATGGGAGCCATTCTTCTGCATCCAGCTCAACGCAACCAGCAGCACACGACCCGACTTGTCGAATTCTAAAGTCCGTCTTTGAGATGAAGACGAGGGAAGGAGGATGCATTGACTGAGAGTGTTTTTCACCACACCGTGAACCGGCAAACACTACTTAGTCTGGGTCCAAAACGTACAGACGCCTTACAGCTAAGACGAAGTGAGCGATTGATGCTGCAATTTCCAGCGAATGGTCTCACCGGCCTTCAAGGGTATGACGACTCCGTTATCAAACGGGTAGCTATCGGGCACCTTCCACTCCTCCCGCTTCAAGATGGTCTGGCCTACCGTATTGCGCTTCAGGCCGTAGAAGTCGGCGCCGTTCTCGCAGGCGAACGCTCGAAACAAATCCAGCTTGCCGACAGAGTCGAATGCTTCAGCGTAAAGTTCAAGTGCAGCGTGGGCTGAGTAGATACCGGCGCAACCGCAACCAGATTCCTTCTTGACAGAGACGTGCGGGGCACTGTCCGTCCCGAGAAAGAATTTCTTGCTTCCGCTGGCAATAGCTTGCAGCAGAGCCTGACGGTGCGTCTCTCGCTTGAGCACGGGAAGGCAATACTTGTGAGGTTGTAGTCCACCTTGGAAAATGGCGTTGCGATTGTACAGTAAGTGTTGCGGCGTAATGGTAGCTGCGATGTTGGCCGAAGAGTTTGTGACGAATTCTGCCGCCTCCTTGGTGGTAATGTGCTCCATCACGACTTTCAGCTGCGGGAACTTGGCCACTAGCGGTTTGATCACCTGCTCCACAAAAGTTGCCTCTCGGTCAAACAAGTCGACCGATGGGTCGGTGACTTCGCCATGCACAAGCAACGGCATGCCGAGCTCACTCATGGCTTCGAGTGCCGAGTGAATGTTGTCAATCTTGGTGACCCCCGAGTCCGAGTTGGTCGTCGCTCCAGCTGCACATAGTTAGTCGTATTCGATCCCGTCGGTGAGTCGGAGACTTACTAGCGATTGGCTCGAGCTTTTCGTCCACTTACCCGGATACAGCTTGACAGCGACGATTTGTGCGGTCGCGGCAGCACGACGGATCTCGTCGGCCGTCGTGCCGTCCGTCATGTAGAGCGTCATCAGTGGCTCGAACCCGTGTGCTTTGTTGAGCCTATTGCGCTTTGCCTCGGGCACGTGGGCCATGATGCGCTCGCGGTAGGCCAGCGCCTGCTCTGTCGTCGTCACGGGCGGCACGAGGTTGGGCATCACAATACAGCGTGCGAACTGAGACGTCACGTGGGCCACGGTGCAGGCCAACGCAGCGTCTCCGTCGCGCAGGTGGTGGTGCAGGTCATCGGGCCGAGCGTTGACCCATTTGAGTTCAGTAGGGCACGTCATGGCTCAGGCCTGTTCGAGTGATGCGGAACAGCGATATTCCGAGTGCTGCTACTGCTACTGCTGCTGCTACTGCTACTGCTACTGCTACTGCTACTGCTACTGCTGCTGCTACTGCTGCTGCTGCTGTGGTTGTGATGACTGAATGAACGGATGGGTGGGGGTCGGGGGGGGGAGTTATCATTATATTATCATCCAACAATAATAAACCTCTCTACCTCCTACTTCATTGGACAAAGGAAGAGAGGGTCGAATAGGTTTGACCCTCGAATGGGAACCCGAAGGGAAAAGAGTGTGTGAAAAAAGGAGTGAGTGGCCACAGAAAATGAGTAAGTGAACTCAGTAAAGTGTCGGAGTGAACCTCATATATAAAGAGAGCAGAAGTGACGACTGGAAAGTCGAGCGAAGGTTGTCTGGAGGATATAAAGACAAACGCCAAGATTCAAAAGAGCTCAGGTGGTGCATTAGGCACTCGAAAGCTTCTTGTCTTTCGGCTCAATGAATAGGCTACACGGGTTTGCGTTAATGGCGCGGGTTCGACTCAAAATACCACCTTTTTCATGTGGATCTTAAAAAAAGATGTACATAAATTGTAAAGTATTTTTTATTTTTGTCGTTATATTTAGATTTATTACTGATATTTTCATTTATAATATTATGACACCGAGTGGTAAATTTATATGTTTCTAATTTGTCACATCTAAATCGTTCAGCCATTAATTTTATACCTAGACTTAATAATAATAATAATAAATTTAATATTAGTAATAATAATAATAATAGTAATAATAATAATAAAAATAATAATAATAGGGAAACAGCAACCACCCCCCAGGTTTTCGTTAACCACCCCCACCCCTATATATTACCGTAATTTACTCGATTTACGCCTTCTGATTGGTAGGACCGAGAATATAATCGGTCTCAGAAGTATTTTACAATCTCATTCACAAATGATAAAATACTAAATCTGAACAAATATGTATGTCGCTTAGTCGGCAACGTGTGGTAATTTATTATTCAGCTACTTCATTTCACCGAGAATGGCTCAGTCAAATGAGACCTTTATACGAGCGATTCTGGAACAGGTTGGGCTTGTAACGAGTATCCTGCATGGGCACTGTGACTAAGGCATCCAACAATACTGTGTTCGAAATTGACATCAAGCCAGCCGCAGAGGTCCATTAAGAGGTACATCAACCGTCGTAATACCTGTTCAATTGACCAACTAGACTAACGTGTAATTTGGTCATGGTAGTGGCTCGACGTGGCGTCTGACAAGAGCTAGGCTGAGCTTTCCTCGATAAAGTTTCCCCGAACAGGCAGTCTGCATCCGCTGGGCACTACAATTGACTTCGTTTCTAGTCAAATGAAGATCAATAGCAGTATTGACGCCCACTCCTCCTCGTCGTTGTGCACAATGCAGTCAAGTGAATGGTCCAAGTCGACCAACATGACAGCAGTGATTACCGGCATCAACGAGGATGGCCCACTGAGCGCTACAAGCTCCGTCGCTTGCGGCACGAACGTTGTTTTTATGGAAGCATCTGCTTAGTCATTGAAGACCGCCATCAACAAGGTTATTGTCGAGTACCTGTCTACTCACGGATACAGTGATGAATCGAACTCATATTGATGGTCTTGTTGATTCAGATGGGGGCGCACGCCGTAGCAAGCATAAACATGGAAAGTATATAAACTACGGTAATATATAGGGGTGGGGGTGGTTGACGAAAACGTGGGGGTGGTTGACGAAAACGTGGGGGTGGTTAACGTTTCCCCTTAAATATTGCATTACATGATGCTAATTACATTGTAGGACATTTTCACTATGTACTATCAATAGGCGCTGTATTCGTGATCAAGATAACCTAGAAATTAAAACTCTTGTACCAACAAGAATATAACCTTCTCACACTTAAAACTTATTCTAATCAGCATATGGCGGTCAAAGCTGACGCGAGACTCATTTGCACGAGCGTCTACTTGACGAAGCAAGAAATCGGTCGTTAGAGTCGGACCTGGCGCCAACGATGGGGTTGCGAAGTCAGGATACGGCTCACTACTGTCGCACACTGAAGCTAACGACTCAGCACCAGAGCAGCGTCCGCTCTGACGATGCATACAGTCTCCAACAGAGGACTGAAGCGGTGGTACATCCACATCGCGATATCGATTGAATGCAACCAAGTCGTTCGATGGACAAGACAATGATGTGACTCGTTATCTTTCTTCTTCTTCTTCTTCTTCTTCTCCTTCTTCTTCTTCTTCTTCTTCTTCGCTACACGACCTTGGCGTGGACTATAGTAGCGATTCCTTCGCGGTTGGTCCTCGTCCCGACAGTGTGCGACAGCGTCAATCACGACTGCTTGTCCTACTTTCGTGGTCGTTGATTTTGACTACGTCAGTCAAGACCCGTGCTACGTACGCCTTACGATATCAAACCGGTTGATAAGCTTTGTGGGCGACATCTGTGCAGCGCTGCCCATGTGTGAGCAAGCAAGTTGTCGTTCGCAAGACAGAGTCAAGCCAAGTAGCAGCGTAAATATTGTACGCTATAAGTACTCATCCAGTGTATTATAACTTGTGGAGTAGGAACACAATGTATCAGCTAATCAGAGCTCTCGCGAAAGGGATTGCAACAATGTGGTCGATCAAGTCAACACCATCTTTTCATTGACCCCCGCGTCCGATGAAGATCTATCGAGCCAACTGCACCCATTGACCCACACGCCCAAAGTGACGAGCGTGGGGGACTGCCAGTACCTCACACGTGTCGCAGACTTTTTGTGCGACACTAGTGGTGACCACCACACAGTGACAATTTCATGCTGGTCATTGAGCCGTTTGATAGCGGGTCAGGCGCTCACGATCCCGTACTACAGCTCTCGTGCTTGGATGCGTCGCTGGCGATTCGTCCGGTGTTTGAACGCTTTTCCAGTGTCATCATCACTTCCGGAACACTGTCTCCAATCGATTTATACCCGCGACTGCTGAACTTCAACCCGGTGATCCGAGAATCGTTGCCCATGTCCGTCTATCGCGCAAGTATTTGTCCCCTCGTGATCACGCGCGGTAGTGACCAGATGCCCGTGAGTACCAAGTTTGACCTGCGCGACGACATGTCCGTGGTCCGCAACTACGGAACGCTTTTACTGGAAATGGCAGCTTGCACGCCCGATGGTATGGTCTGCTTTTTCCCGTCGTATCTCTACATGGAGAAGATTATCGGCCAGTGGGACTCGCTGGGAGTGCTTAAGCGCGTTCTCTCGAGCAAGCTGCTTTTCATTGAGACGAAAGATGTTGTGGAGACGACCCTGGCGCTGGACAACTACAAAAAAGCGTGCGACTGTGGCCGAGGGGCGATCTTCTTTTCGGTTGCTCGTGGGAAGGTGGCAGAAGGAATTGATTTCGACCGTCACTATGGACGTGCCGTGCTGCTCTTCGGTATCCCTTTTCAGTACACGCTGTCGAACACGTTGCGGGCGCGGCTCGAATACCTTCGGTACACGCATCAGATCCGCGAAGGTGACTTTCTGACATTCGATGCGCTGCGCCAAGCCGCCCAGTGCGCCGGTCGAGTTCTTCGGAGCAAGACCGACTACGGTCTCGTCATTTTCGCTGACTCGAGATACAACCGAGCGGACAAGCGCACGAAGCTGCCGCCGTGGATCACCCAGTTTCTCTTGACGTCGCACTTGAACTTGTCAGTGGACATGGCAGTGTTCATGGCGAAGAAATATCTGTCGTTGATGGCTCAGCCAGTGGACGAATCGACCAACGTCAACTCCATCTTGCTAGATGCCGATGGGGTGTCCAAGTGGCTCGGCAAACATCCAAAAGAAGACGAACCCGTGCAGTGGCACAGTAAGTAAGGAGCCCTTGGCCGCGAAAGTGATGGCCGTCAAGTGCAGTCGACATGCAATACATACCCACATTGTTTCAGATCTCTCCATTCACAGTTAGCTGCCATCCACTGCACAGCGGCTCTGCTACTAGCTACACGTCCCCAGGCTCACCTAGCTGGCTAGCTTCTTACAGGCGAGGTGCATCCAGCACGATGCCCTCGAACTTGGTCTGAAACCAGTTCACCGCGTCGTCTTTGGTAAGGCGGTGCGGGTGGCCGACGCGCGACTGCTTCATCTTGCGCCGCGCGACGCGAGCCCCGGGGCGTTTGAGCACGACGAAGAAGTCCATGCCGTAGATACCCGTCGATGGGTCGTACTTGATGCCCAGATCAATGTGTTCCTGGATACCAAAGCCAAAGTTGCCCGTCTCGGAGAAGTTCTTGCGCAGCAGCTCGTACTCCTTGACCTTGAGACCGCGATCCAAAATCTCCTGAGCGAGTTCCCCGCGAATCGTCACGTGGCACGAGATCTTTTCGTTACGGCGAATGCCGAACGTGCGGACCGTGTAGCGAGCTGCAGTCACAGAACAGTGCATCGTTCACAACAAGTTAGCCCAAATCCGCTGGCACAACGACCTCATTCCCACACACGCGTGCGCGCGAACGAGGTCTGTACACTGAGTACGGCTCTAGAGGAGCCACGTTGACCATGTGTGTGTGCTCATGGCAGACAACAGTGTTGACGCGACAGAGCGCGCACAACGTCGGAGGAGCGAGCACGCATCTCGTGCCATCCGTTAAGGTCGACGAACAGACAGCCACCAACCTCCACGATCATTGACGTCTGCGTGCCGTCCCACGAACTGCTTTGTGCAGCGCTCGCTCGTTGTACTCCTAACGCGCGCAATCGGGGATGAACCAGAGACAGAGCTCCGACACCCCGAAAGGCCGTGCATTTGGAACGCCGCGCCCTCGCTGGACCGCGGGCGCGACTCCCGGGTAAGTAGCCCGTTAAGGCAGTTCTTTGCTTTTGTCACGCGTGTCAAAAAGCTTACCCTTCGAGTACACGGGCTTCTGCCCGGTGAGCTGCTCGAGCACACGCGCGGCTCGGGTCAGTTTGTCGCCGGACTCGCCAACGCAGCAGTTGATCACGAGCTTGTCGACGTGGATCTCGCGCATAACATTGTTGCTCTTGTCGCCGGTCTGACGGGGCAGAGACAAACAGGAGGCAGTGGATGCACAGCAAATGAGTGCAACCGTTCGTTCGTTCACTCGTTCATTCGTTCACTCGTTCGTTTGTTGTCGGCGGCGGCGGCGGCCGTTCGACCGTTGAGCGACGAAGAGGGAGAGAGCAGACAAACACACGTACCATTTTCGCTCGAGGGTTGGCAGCTTTTGGAGAACTATTGGGCCCACGGGATGTGATGGCGGCAATGCAGCGTAATGGGTGGCCGCGGGCTCGCGCGGAGTGGGTGGTGATCGAAGCGTCGCAGCTGCGGGCGTGGTATGCGCGGAGGCTCACGGACGATAAATCAAATGCGTTTTGTAAAGGAACAAATGGTGAGCCAGTTAGACCTTTTGTCGGTAAAGTGTGACACAAAAACCGTGTGGACGCTTTTTGGTTTGGTGACAAAGTGAACCGTTTGCGCGCACATCCCATTTATCTTTTGGGTGATATGAGGTACTTGCATAATTGCTGTCGAAAATAATAATGCTCGAAATAGTCAAGAAATAGAGTGCGCCGGAGAAATGTAACATACGTACGAACATCCTTCGTCTGAGATCATTCGTGTGTACTCGCGTATATCTCCTCAATCTCCTGTCTTCCTTCTACATTCAACAGCCTTTTGCAAAGTCTACAGTCGGCAGTCGTTTTGCGAGGGAAAACGTTGCGTCGCGTTGCCTCTTACATCGTATAAAGATATAATTGCGTTGTCTCTATAAGCGCATCGTGCTATCTTAAGTCTGTAGTGCCACGTTGCTTGTACTTCTTTTATCTAGATTCAAGTGGTTCGGCATTGTAGTTTTTTATGCAGCTGTTGCGTTCGCGGTGCGGCTGAATTCAGACGGCATAAGACAGTTTTTGTCCTTGCACCGGTACACAGAGCTGTAATGAAATGTTACGGAACGACTTTTAGCAGCACAAGACGACAGATGTCGAAAGTACGAGAAGAATGTTTGACAGAACAATCTACTACTATTGCAGAAAATCGGGCAGATTCTTGCGGCAGACGCGCAAAATGGAACGCACTCTGACGGAGCGCGCAAAGCGAATCGAGTCATACGGCCGTCACACGTGAAGGTGCTACTTTGGTAGTGATATTGGAGTTCATCTATGTATCACCGTCTGAAAGCTGTCATGACAATTGCAATATTGCTCATCAGCAGTGGAGGACGCACTTTGTTTTCTCATTGTGTGGTGCACTCTACTGGAGGTACTAAGTGCGTTTTTACATCCATCAAATACTTTTCTCTTTTAAGTTTCGCGGGTTTATACATGTTGCAGGACAGCAACAGAAAAACAGATACAGAGTGAAGGTCGCGGCAATGGGGGCGTCTTCATCGTCCAGCGAAACAAACGATACTATTTTGTATCGTTGCATACATAAGCCAAATTCAAAATACTCGCAAGATTTGTTCCAACGGATATTTTATAGCATCAACTGCGTCTGTAATTTACGAGTAGAAGCACCTATGAGCTCGCACTGTGCTCTGCAACTGCGTCTTTTTACTTGCTCCTTTGTCATCCTGACGAGAAACAATGGCGGAGTAAACTTGCTGAGCGGCTCTCTATTGACGACAAAACTGGCAAGATAAAGAGGAACGAACGAACTGATGTTACGTCACTGCAGTCACTGCTGTACAAATCGATTAGGATCTCAGTATGTCACTTATTGCGATATTGACTTGTCAATTGCGATTTAAGATGACCACGACAGGTCAGACACGATTTCAATCACTTCTGCAGGGATGCATGACTTCAACCCCTATGAATGCACCAAGGTAAGCAATGTGCCAGTGTAACCTCACTTTCGATCTGAATGTAGATCAAGTCAAGCTCTTTGCCTTTGCGTCCAGCAAGTGTATGGCTCATGTCAGCACAGTAGTTTCCAATACGCGCAAAGAGAATGCGTTGCTTCCACACGCCCTATTTGTTGACGAAGGTGTCATTTACTCGTATCGGCCAAGTTACATGCAAAGTGGAAGTGCGGAGGCTAGACGTTCCGGTCACGTCAAACACACAGAGTGTACGCCTTCCCATACGTTGTACAGTTTCCCATCTTGCAATTGTTTTGTGGCTATTGCGAGCTTGATGGGGTAGAAGCTGTCAGTGAGTGTGCGAAAGGTAATTACCGAACTACACGGTATCTTCTTTACGTGTGTCTGTAGTTACGTAGGTGCACGATAGACGTCCCGATAGGTGCGGGTCAGCAGGGGCTGTTCTTTGAACGGGTAAGGAAGTGTATTTGGTCTCACTCTTTCGCTAGGTCACTAATTTCGACCGCTCGAAAGTATGTTGGCCGCACACAAGCATGCAGTCACGTGGTTAGCCGCAAAAAGCGGTAAGTGGCGAACACGGCGTTTCACGACAGTAATGTAATACGGTTGAAGTCAGCATTGATGGAATAGTGAAATGTAGAGAAACATAGCACCAGAGTCTCGCTCGTAAGAATCTTGCTACTATCAAGTTGACCAGAACAGAGGAGCATGAAGAATAAATAGACACGCATAACAAATCATTTGATGAATGGCACTAAAGGAAAGAAAAGCGAGGAGTATACTAGCACCCTCGTCTGTCTGCGATCTCATGCGGTCTCTGAAATCTCGCCTTCTCATTAATCGCTCCTGTTGCAATCTCTTTACCGTAGCGCTGTTAAGCCAGCACTGTGTCCATGCAGTGAGTCCGTCGCGTTTTACAGCAGCCTTTGTATCATCAATCATACTTCCTACCTTTGTTGTTAGTGCACCGACAAGATTGGCGATTGTCTCTCTTCTCTCATCCAATAAACAGTGCCAGCGTATGTGCTGTATCACGCGCGACAACCACGGCACCATTGCATTTCATATAAATCTTGCGACGTACACAACCCGTCTTCAGCCGCCAACCTCACCATTCGAATCGGGTACGGAAGTTTGCATGGCTCGATGCAATTTCTGGACCAAACTACCAATACTGAAGGGCAGGCAGGCTACGGAGGGGCTCTCCTATCTTAGCGCCTTGTGATATACAACATACTGCTTTTGGGTAAAGACGTTCTGGAACGACTCTGTACCTATCAGTACAAACGCACGACAGTACTGAAATAAGAGTCTCGATGCATCGACAAAGGGAATACGAATAGCAACGACACCTGGCGCAAGTTTAACGCGGTGGGCTCGTGGACCATGACGAGCAACCTACTTATAGGACAATCGCGCGCTTTTCCCGTCAAACCACGCTGCAGCATCTGTGATCCCATCGAGCCATAGATAGTGTGCGGGTGCCACGTTTTCTGCATCGCATTTCTAGTGGTAGTCAGCGATTTTGGGATCATAAATGGAAAGGACAATTTTCAACGCATGCCACATGTTGCAGTAGGGTACTGCGGCCGCATCACGAAACAAATGAACAAAGTTTCAAGAAACTCATCATTTTCCTCTCCTGCAGTGGCATGACAGAATCTTTACTTTCAGATCCCTCTACTTCCATTTCCAGGTACCTCACCATGAGAACAGGACCTGTGTATCCCTTCTAGCAGCTCAAATGCCGAGAAGAAGTCGTTCCGGGTTCTCAATCTTGTCGGCAATGGCCTTCAAGCACGTGACTCCCTCACGGCCATCGACGAGGCGGTGGTCGTACGTAAGCGCAAGGTACATCATGGGACGGGCAACGACCTCGCCGTCCACGACCACGGGGCGCATCTTCGTGCCGTGCATACCGAGAATCCCCGACTGCGGCAGATTGATGATAGGCGTGCCCATAAGCGAGCCAAACACACCGCCGTTCGAGATCGTAAAGTTGCCACCAGTCATCTCTTCGAGCGACAGCTTGCCATCGCGAGCGCGTATTGCAAGCTCAGCCAAGCTCTTTTCAACATCGGCAAAACTCATCGACTCCGTGTTCTTCAGCACGGGTGTCACCAGACCCTTTGGTGTCGACACCGCGACACTCATGTCGACAAAGTCACGGTACACAATCTCCTGGTGCTTCTCGTCAATCATAGCATTCACGCCCGGCACTTCCAGCAAAGCCGACGCACTGGCTTTCACAAACGCCGACATGAAGCCCAATTTCACGCCATGTTTGGCCTCGAACGCGTCCTTGTACACTTTCCGCAACGCCAACAGCTTCGACATGTCAACTTCCTGAAACGTCGTGAGACTCGCGGCCGTGTTCTGCGACTCTTTCAGTCGCTCGGCCGTGCGCAAGCGCATGCGACTCATTTTCTCGCGACGGCAGCGGCGCTCAGAAGTTGCAAGCAACAGCGCGTCACCAGAACGCTGCGCCTCTGTAGCCGCGACCGGCGCAGCAGCGCGCTCGTCGGTGGTTGGCACAGCGTTTCCAACGCGCTCGGGCGGCGACTCGGCCGCGACCGGTGCTGCTGGAGCAGCTGCAGGCGACTCGTTTGTCGTCGCTGCGCCCCGTTGCAAGCGGAAGAGCGGGACGCCAATCGCCACTGTCTCGTCCTTGTCGACCAACGTGGCCGTAATTGTGCCCGAGTGCGGCGCCCGCACGTCGACACTCACTTTGTCCGTCTCAATGACAACCACAACGTCGTCGGCGCCGACGCTGTCGCCCGTCGTTTTCAGCCAATCCACGACGGTTCCCTCTGAAATCGAATCGCCCATAGACGGGACATTCACGTCCACGACCGCGTCGGCGCTGGCTGTGAACCACGCGCGACGGGGCGCGACGCCGACGCGACGCAGCGCCGGCGTGCGGAACGACAAGCGGCTGAAGGTGCGATCGCTGCGGCGGCTGCTGCTCGGCGGGCGGCTGAGCGCGTGGAGCGAGCGGCGCGTGAGACGAGCGGCGACGCGACTCGAGCGCTGCATGATGTGTCGAGGGGGACAAGTTGGTTGACGTGGGATGGTGTGGCACACGCGAATTACGACTCACCCAGCGGTCTGAAGCGAGTGGGTGGGTGGGTGGGTTTTGGTACTGTACCACTGGATACGAGATGTGGTGTAGAGTAATCGGTCGATTGGATGTTGTGGAATCGAGATCCAAAGGGCTTGTGGCTTCCTTATCGTGAGCTAATATGGGCTTTACAGATCGCGATTGAAGCAACTTCACCTATCGATACGAATAATGTGTTATATCGGCACGTGTTGAGTTGGCACGTGTCCCGAATTGGCACGTTTTCGAAGATGATAGGATGTGCGTTGTGAAGCGTGATGACTGGTTTATTGTTTCTGTTGATATGCGAAGAAGCTGCTCGTCGATGTTGCAGGTATGTAAAAGATTGACGCACGCGAAATGGGTTATGGACGCGCTCAGCCTTGGACGATAACATTTATTAGAAAAAGGAACAAACCGTCCGCAAGAGGCGGGTCGCAAATTCAGATGTTGTCGAGTTAAGTAAACGGTTTTCAAACATTTGGTCGGTCAAACAGCTTTGCTTTTTATAAAAAAAATGTACATAGGTCGTATACGTGTATACGTTGAGATCTATATGCACACTCAAGCCGAAAAACTGCTGCATTTAGGCGACGGTGATCAAGTCGGTACGACTTCGGTTTTGACCGAGAAGGCTATGACTGATAAGCATACTGGGCACAAACAGCCCGATGTAAGAACGGTAAGAATTCATCGTTGTGGCCTTGAATGTATTGCGTCTCATTCGATCAAGTCAATATCTCTGTTTGGCAATCTCATCATTTCCATTCTTACTAGCGTGCACGCCACATCTACCTTCCGAGCAGCAGCACCTCCACAGTCCGAAGCCTCGTGTCGTAAAGCGAGATGACACGCCTATTATGTACCAACGCAGAAGGTTAGCGTTATGTATCAAACAACCTGGAGAGAAGGCGACGCCCCATGTGTGTTTCTGCTCCACATCAGTTTGGACTAACATTCTATCAGACGAGCTCGTCGGATCAAAAACGTGCGCGCAGTGTTACAAACTACAACGCAACAAATGCCACTGTTCTTCGCCGGTCTATCCAATACATGTTGAGGCCATTTGTAGCTTAAACGAACATGGTAAATTAGCTATCGAACACGTAGCTTTTACCCTTTGCAACTTTTTAAGCTTGCAGAAATTCCAGCTGACCGGTAGGATCCATCTTTTACAGCGTTTCATGATGTATGTTGTGGCATGATCATGTATATGTTTTCCTAGCCATCGTCATCGCATGCATACTTTATCCACCATCGAAGTCACACCGCGGCAAATAGTCAATAAACGGACATCGAGCTTGATGGCGACCGGTGTTCTCGAGTCAACGATGGCGTTTTGTGTGATTACGGGGCTTTGCCACTAAGTACAGTCGACTACTATGAGGATTCGATACACTTCTTTATTCTGCTAAGATCGCGTAGATCAAACGGTCGGCTTTGTAAACGGCATTTTAGGGTTGATGGTTTCTAGGCCCAACACGTTTGGTAAGACAAATTGTTACTACAAAGGCGCTTGGGCTACAATCCTTTACGTTGATTGATCATCAGGGCGCAAGCGACGTGAAGATCTTTATCGATACAGCGAATCCCTCAAGGTGGAAAAGCACATGAGTAGGCTCCAAAGCTGCAGCTCCAATGTGATTCTTCTCTTCAACCTAGTAGTGTTCATTCGACTGCGAAGTCTTTGTCGCGCTGGCAACCATAAAAGACACCAAAAAACCAGCGTAACCGAAACATGAGATCATGTAAGCGTTGTTATTCTTAAAGATTGCGTTTATGTCTAGCGAGTCTAGTACGAATCAGTTCATGCAATACAGCAACTCGACTCTTGCGGTTCTATTGGTGTTGTTCTGTCGTTTTTTTTCATTTTCTTACTACATGATGGTGCTGAATCGGTCAAAAGATGCGTCGTGGCAAACTTGTAGTCGCTTACCCATGTTGTATCGCAGCTGCTTCCTGACATTCCCATTCAACACCAGTTTACACGAGGTGTAGTAATTGCTGTGTCGGATACGTAGCTTACAGATCTCCGTATCGGCAAACAGTCGCATATCTTTCGTGAGCTTCGACCGTATCGGTGTTCCTCTGTCCGTACAGAATGAGCAAGCGCGCCCCATGCAAGCGTAGATTAAACTGATAGATGATCGAAGCGTGGAACGACCACGACGATCATTATAATATCAAATAAAATGCACAAGATCTCTCCTGTCTTTTATGACTGGCAATGCGCTAACGACAATACGCATGCGGTCTGCAGAAGCAGAAAGTGGACGGCATCATCTCTCCAAGCACGTGCGATGCATGTGTTTTAGACGTTTAGACCTCACTAGATTGCAAACCATTTTCGACAGTATTGTTGAAACGATCGCTGATTAGTTCCTACAAAGGAAGAAAATATAATTTCTCTCTCGGTGTTGGCCTCGAAATTGACATGTGTAGTCACAACACCTTTGTAAGTTTGCTACGTGTGTGCAGTCTTATGGTGCCAACATCGCCATGGTGAAGATTAGGCTTTGCATGTTGGTGTTAGTCTAGTCTCTCGAAGCGTAGTGGATGAAAGCAGGAAGAAATGAAGTCCAGCTCTCGCAATGGTTGACACCCTCGTTGTAACGGGGCACACCCTTGCGTAACTTAACGCAAGGGATTTGGGTGCCCCGACGGACGTACACGTGGCGAGCGAGGAAGCGTAGGTAGGGTAAAAGTAGAACTGTTATATTAATAAATTAAGTCTTTAACTACTGTCTCTTCGTTTGACTTAATTCAATTATACTAATATAACTGCATGTATGGTGACGTCTCGTCACCACTCATTGCGCGCGTCTTGCGGCGATTGGTGGGTTGATATCATCACGATATCAACCAATGAACAGACCCTTTGGTCGACCCTTCAATATCACCACTTTGGTGATATTGTTTAAAGAATATCCATCTTATATTCTTTATTGTCACTTTCCTTAAGTGACAATATCATGTAACGGGCTGCCCCGTTACATCACCCCCCCCCTTAACTGATAGTCACCGTATGACTATCGAAATATGGAGGCCACCCGTTGGCCACCATTGGGACAGGGAGTACTTGTTTGGTCCGTTCCACTCACTTTCCGCTTGACCTCGCATAGCTAACATGTCTATGCGAGGTGACTCAAGACCCACACAGCCTGGTGCTGTGCAAGCCTCTGCGGCAGACGCTTCGTCGTCTGCCGCCCCTTCTTCGCCTGCAGCAACAGGTGCTGCAGGTGCACGCGGTGTCACGCCGCGTGCGTATGATGACCCCGATGTGGAGGTCATCTACTCTGGCGAGTCAGACGTGTCTGACTCGGGCAATGCTCCAGAGGCGTCTCGCTCACCGGCGACGCCTCAGTATTCGCCAAGGCCACTGCCGAACGAACGGACTCGTGATTCGCATCACAGTCTGTTCGGCAGTGATGACGATGATCAGGGTGGTGAGTTCTATTCTTCACCACCGCCGGCTCGTGCGTCTTCGCACGAGCGTGTTGACGATGGCGCGAGCCGTCGTCAATCTGGGAGCCGTGGTACCGACAAGGGTACCACTGTGAAGCGTGATGAGTTGAAGCCGTGGCGTTTGCCCGAACAACTCATCAATAGCCTGTCTCACGAGACAGGCCAACACCATCGAATACCCTTATTCGATGCAACCGAGCTTCACGGCTTGAGTCCCAGCGCGAAGAACTTTCGCGCTGAAGAAGATTTTTATCTCGATGTCTTCCTTAGACATCGATGGTACAATAGCAATCAAAAGCGTGACAAAACATCGCTTTTGGCTGCGTGGAACGCGTTCGTCCAAATCGTAAAGAATTTTGGACGAGAAGGGTGGCTCAAGAAACTTGAGGCAACACGCCTCAGGTTCGAACGGCGAACGCCAACCGGTGCTAGGTACCGGTTGCATTGTTTATCGAGTGAGGCAGGCATTCCTTGCCTCACATGGGGAGACCCTTGTGCGAGTTGTGTTGACAACTCGCAGCGTGCACATAGGGATGTGTACTCCCTAAGTTCGCCCTGGGGAAGGGCACATCTCTCGGAGGAGATGCGTGACGCGATTGCAAACTTGCAATCCGTCTACAAGCGCCTAGGGCGCGTGTTTACCGATGGGCCACAGGACTCATCGGATGGGTCTCGTCATACTGGTGGACGAGACCTTCAACATCCATTAACAGCTGAGAGCGGGGCTCCCAGCTGTTCCAAGAGGGTGGATACCCCCGCCACTGGACGAGGTAGCTCGTCCTTGATCCTGAATCGTCACGGTGATTCAAGATACGCTCCACTAGAAAGCGTTGATCACCGTGAGCATCCACCAAAGGATGTGGTGGAGGAGGAAAGACCTCCTCCAGAACCCCAGGCCCACCATCTCGACCCTTACGAGATGGATCGCGCAATCGATGAATTGCGCGATGACTTGAAGCACGAGCGCGACCGACGCTACGCTTTGACCGACACCGTGCGGAAGAACCGCAAGGATCACGAGGCTGATCGGGCGAGGGATCGCGCCGATTATGCCACGGCGCAGCTTCAGGTCGAGCGGGATGTCCGCTCCCTTTTCGGCGAGCTGGCGACAGCTCGCGGAGAGATAACTCGGTTGAATACCGAGGTATCATATCTGCGCGACCAGACGGATCGTCTGGAGCGCGAACGCAAGAACTTGATGGATGTTCTTGAACGTGGGGGCTATCTTCATCGGAAGAAGAAGGCCCGTACTGACAGTACGACCTAAGCCTCCCCACGTAAAACGTAGGATGCGTGCGCAATCTACGTGGCAATTCGAGTGTGTATGCATTGCCCTTGCGATGCAACACTCGAAATGGCCCAATGTATTTCGGCAGTAGTTTACTACTGCCGACACTAGTGACTGCATGTCCAGGTAGGTTTACCGTTGACAGTAGTACTAGGTCGTTAACCTTAAATGAAAGAACATTTG